AATGGAAGTATGTTGACCAGACCACACACTAGAAAGTGAAGGGTCAACGATGTTTCGGTCCGTCCTGGACCATTCTGAAGTTGATGGGCCAAGAATGGAAGTATGTTGACCAGACCACACACTAGAAAGTGAAGGGTTGACGATGTTTCGGTCCGTCCTGGACCATTCTGAAGTTGATGGGCCAAGAATGGAAGTATGTTGACCCGACCACACACTAGAAAGTGAAGGGTTGACGATGTTTCGGTCCGTCCTGGACCATTCTGAAGTTGATGGGCCAAGAATGGAAGTATGTTGACCCGACCACACACTAGAAAGTGAAGGGTTGACGATGTTTCGGTCCGTCCTGGACCATTCTGAAGTTGATGGGCCAAGAATGGAAGTATGTTGACCCGACCACACACTAGAAAGTGAAGGGTTGACGATGTTTCGGTCCGTCCTCGACCATTCTGAAGTTGATGGGCCAAGAATGGAAGTATGTTGACCCGACCACACACTAGAAAGTGAAGGGTTGACGATGTTTCGGTCCGTCCTGGACCATTCTGAAGTTGATGGGCCAAGAATGGAAGTATGTTGACCCGACCACACACTAGAAAGTGAAGGGTTGACGATGTTTCGGTCCGTCCTGGACCATTCTGAAGTTGATGGGCCAAGAATGGAAGTATGTTGACCCGACCACACACTAGAAAGTGAAGGGTTGACGATGTTTCGGTCCGTCCTGGACCATTCTGAAGTTGATGGGCCAAGAATGGAAGTATGTTGACCAGACCACACACTAGAAAGTGAAGGGTTGACGATGTTTCGGTCCGTCCTGGACCATTCTGAAGTTGATGGGCCAAGAATGGAAGTATGTTGACCAGACCACACACTAGAAAGTGAAGGGATGACGACGTTTCGGTCCGTCCTGGATCATTCTGAAGTTGATAAGCCGAGAATGGTCTAGGACGGCCTGAAACGTCGTCGTCCCTTCACTTTCTAGTGTGTGGTCTGGTCTGGTCTGCAATCTCTTTGATTCCCCAAAGTGAAATGTGCTAAGTAAATGGTCCGAGACTTTACTCCATCTTGGTGTTTTACGGTCGCTGTTTCAACTTTTAATTTTCTGATTTTCTCTTATTTTCTTGCTAGAGTTAATTTGACAGTGTTGGCATTTCTTAATGTTTTGTTGTTGATGAGGTTATGGTGTTGACATTGACCAGAGCAGATGTTTGAGTGGTCTTTTGTTTTAAAAAAAAAAAATTACGACTATAGCACTGGGAAGGGGTCAGGGTAAGGATTTGGGATGGGACAGCGGGGGGGGGGGGGGGGGATGGTGCCTAACCACTTGGACGGTCGGGGATCGAACGCCGACCTGCATGAAGGGAGACTTTTAATCATTGATGTTCTGTTTTTTATTTTTGTGATTTTTTCTATTCATGAACTATGTTAAGTTTTGTCTATCTTGTGTGCTGTGGCCACACGGGGCCAGTTGTTGTGTTGCTGCGGCTAAGTGCCTTACTGTGTGCTGTGGCCACACGGGGCCAGTTGTTGTGTTGGTGCGGCTAAGTGCCTTACTGTGTGCTGTGGCCACACGGGGCCAGTTGTTGTGTTGCTGCAGCTAAGTGCCTTACTGTGTGCTGTGGCCACACGGGGCCAGTTGTTGTGTTGCTGCGGCTAAGTGCCTTACTGTGTGCTGTGGCCACACGGGGCCAGTTGTTGTGTTGCTGCGGCTAAGTGCCTTACTGTGTGCTGTGGCCACACGGGGCCAGTTGTTGTGTTGCTGCGGCTAAGTGCCTTACTGTGTGCTGTGGCCACACGGGGCCAGTTGTTGTGTTGCTGCGGCTAAGTGCCTTACTGTGTGCTGTGGCCACACGGGGCCAGTTGTTGTGTTGCTGCGGCTAAGTGCCTTACTGTGTGCTGTGGCCACACGGGGCCAGTTGTTGTGTTGGTGCGGCTAAGTGCCTTACTGTGTGCTGTGGCCACACGGGGCCAGTTGTTGTGTTGCTGCGGCTAAGTGCCTTACTGTGTGCTGTGGCCACACGGGGCCAGTTGTTGTGTTGCTGCGGCTAAGTGCCTTACTGTGTGCTGTGGCCACACGGGGCCAGTTGTTGTGTTGGTGCGGCTAAGTGCCTTACTGTGTGCTGTGGCCACACGGGGCCAGTTTTTTTTTTTTTTTTTTTTTTTTTTTTTTTTTTTTTTTTTTTTTTTTTGAGATATATACAAGAGTTGTTACATTCTTGTACAGCCACTAGTACGCGTAGCGTTTCGGGCAGGTCCTTAATCCTATGGTCCCTGGAATACGATCCCCTGCCGCGAAGAATCGTTTTTTCGTCCAAGTACACATTTTACTGTTGCGTTAAACAGAGGCTACAGTTAAGGAATTGCGCCCAGTAAATCCTCCCCGGCCAGGATACGAACCCATGACATAGCGCTCGCGGAACGCCAGGCGAGTGTCTTACCACTACACCACGGAGACAGTTGTTGTGTTGGTGCGGCTAAGTGCCTTACTGTGTGCTGTGGCCACACGGGGCCAGTTGTTGTGTTGGTGCGGCTAAGTGCCTTACTGTGTGCTGTGGCCACACGGGGCCAGTTGTTGTGTTGGTGCAGCTAAGTGCCTTACTGTGTGCTGTGGCCACACGGGGCCAGTTGTTGTGTTGGTGCAGCTAAGTGCCTTACTGTGTGCTGTGGCCACACGGGGCCAGTTGTTGTGTTGCTGCAGCTAAGTGCCTTACTGTGTGCTGTGGCCACACGGGGCCAGTTGTTGTGTTGGTGCGGCTAAGTGCCTTACTGTGTGCTGTGGCCACACGGGGCCAGTTGTTGTGTTACTGCGGCTAAGTGCCTTACTCTGTGCTGTGGCCACACGGGGCCAGTTGTTGTGGCTAAGTGCCTTACTGTGTGCTGTGGCCACACGGGGCCAGTTGTTGTGTTGGTGCGGCTAAGTGCCTTACTGTGTGCTGTGGCCACACGGGGCCAGTTGTTGTGTTGCTGCAGCTAAGTGCCTTACTGTGTGCTGTGGCCACACGGGGCCAGTTGTTGTGTTGGTGCGGCTAAGTGCCTTACTGTGTGCTGTGGCCACACGGGGCCAGTTGTTGTGTTACTGCGGCTAAGTGCCTTACTCTGTGCTGTGGCCACACGGGGCCAGTTGTTGTGGCTAAGTGCCTTACTGTGTGCTGTGGCCACACGGGGCCAGTTGTTGTGTTGGTGCGGCTAAGTGCCTTACTGTGTGCTGTGGCCACACGGGGCCAGTTGTTGTGTTGCTGCGGCTAAGTGCCTTACTGTGTGCTGTGGCCACACGGGGCCAGTTGTTGTGTTGGTGCGGCTAAGTGCCTTACTCTGTGCTGTGGCCACACGGGGCCAGTTGTTGTGTTGGTGCGGCTAAGTGCCTTACTGTGTGCTGTGGCCACACGGGGCCAGTTGTTGTGTTGCTGCGGCTAAGTGCCTTACTGTGTGCTGTGGCCACACGGGGCCAGTTGTTGTGTTGGTGCGGCTAAGTGCCTTACTGTGTGCTGTGGCCACACGGGGCCAGTTGTTGTGTTGCTGCGGCTAAGTGCCTTACTGTGTGCTGTGGCCACACGGGGCCAGTTGTTGTGTTGGTGCGGCTAAGTGCCTTACTGTGTGCTGTGGCCACACGGGGCCAGTTGTTGTGTTGGTGCGGCTAAGTGCCTTACTCTGTGCTGTGGCCACACGGGGCCAGTTGTTGTGTTGGTGCGGCTAAGTGCCTTACTGTGTGCTGTGGCCACACGGGGCCAGTTGTTGTGTTACTGCGGCTAAGTGCCTTACTCTGTGCTGTGGCCACACGGGGCCAGTTGTTGTGTTGCTGCGGCTAAGTGCCTTACTGTGTGCTGTGGCCACACGGGGCCAGTTGTTGTGTTACTGCGGCTAAGTGCCTTACTCTGTGCTGTGGCCACACGGGGCCAGTTGTTGTGTTGCTGCGGCTAAGTGCCTTACTGTGTGCTGTGGCCACACGGGGCCAGTTGTTGTGTTACTGCGGCTAAGTGCCTTACTCTGTGCTGTGGCCACACGGGGCCAGTTGTTGTGTTGCTGCGGCTAAGTGCCTTACTGTGTGCTGTGGCCACACGGGGCCAGTTGTTGTGTTACTGCGGCTAAGTGCCTTACTCTGTGCTGTGGCCACACGGGGCCAGTTGTTGTGTTGCTGCGGCTAAGTGCCTTACTCTGTGCTGTGGCCACACGGGGCCAGTTGTTGTGTTGGTGCGGCTAAGTGCCTTACTCTGTGCTGTGGCCACACGGGGCCAGTTGTTGTGTTGGTGCGGCTAAGTGCCTTACTCTGTGCTGTGGCCACACGGGGCCAGTTGTTGTGTTGCTGCGGCTAAGTGCCTTACTGTGTGCTGTGGCAGTACTGTGTGTGTGTGTGTGTGTGTATATATATATATATAAATTAGTATATATATTCCTACTTGAATTTCTAAACTTTTAACCACATTAATAGAAGGTTAATTTTTAAGGGGATTTTAGAAGTATGGAAAGTTTTAATATTTGTAGGCCTAATGTGTCGATTGTTCATTGCTAGTTGAGTAAGTTTATTTCATTGTATTGCTTGGTTTAATTGGCTTTATATACAAAATATATATATGTAGTATAACTTTCATTTCATGACTGGCTGTTTTCAAAAAAGTTGAAAAGTAAATATTGGTGGTTTGATGAATGTAGGGTCTTGCAGACGATGAGTCGCAATACCATAGCTGAAGATATGATGACTTGACCCCACACCAGAAGATGGGGAGACGACGACGTCTCTGTCCATCCTGGACCATTATCAGTCGACTTGATTTTTGAGATATATACAAGAGTTGTTACATTCTTGTACAGCCACTAGTACGCATAGCGTTTCGGGCAGGTCCCTGGAATACGATCCCCCGCCGTGAAGAATCGTTGTTACAACCAAGTACACATTTTACTGTTGAGTAATGGTCCAGGACGAACGGAAATGTGGTGGTCTCGTCGTGTTGTGGTGTGTGGCGTAGTGTTGCTGTAGTGAGTGGTATAGTATGATAGTGTTGTGTTTGCAGGCCTTGGATGCTGTGTGCCAGAGCTGCCGCGACCACATTGAGCAGCACTTTGACGGACTGATGCACATCATTGCGTCCCTCGACTCGTTCAGCATCAGCAACGAGGCTGTGGTTGGCCTCCTGAAAGGCGTTTCGTCAATTCTTGGAAGGTTTCCAAAAGAAAGAATTAAGGAAGACATGAAAAAGTTGTGTTTAGTTCAAGTTTCTCATTTACAGAAGTTGATAGAGGTTAGTATTTAATGCTTTATTAATTATATTGCTACAGCATTACACTTAAGTGTCTTATTCTAGAGTTATTCTTGCATTGTTTTGGGACATTCGAAAACATATTTTTATTTTAGGTTTCAGCAATTCAAAGAAATTAGTGAAATTGTAAAAAAGCCATATGTGGCCATTTTTAGCACCTCCCAATAAACAAATTTTGTTAAGTATATAAATTTTGTTAACAATGTTGGATAAATTTCTTATTTTTATCATATGTTTTCCTCTAATGTTGTCCACATTTTGTCACATGTTACGTTTCAATGCTTCTTGACCAGCGCTTCTCGAACTTTTTTTTTTTTTTTTTTTTGCCCTTAAACCCTTGAAATAATTATCATGTCTCAAAAAAACCACAATTAAAAACAATTATATAATGTATGCATTTATTAATGACAAATTATCAAGCATATCTGTAAATGCAACAAATTAACATTGTCAGTGTTCGCGCAGCTTCCTAGGGTTCCAGGGCACCCCAGTTAAGAAACACTGATGAAGACAAATAGTGTGGAGAGGATAGGATGTTATGACACGTTTTGTTTGTCTCCGTATGTAGATGACTGCTGGCTTTTTATCTGAGAATTTATGGTTTATTTCTGCTCTCTGACGTGTGTTTAATTTGCAGGAAAACATACCAATCGAAAAGAACTCTAAAACTGATCCAGTGGTATGGTTGGATCGGCTGGCTGCTATATTCAGAAATGTTAATCCAATTGTCCAAAATGGTGAACGACATCCTTGCCAGGAAGTGGTTATGGAGGTAGGTCGTTTTGAGTTTTCGAAGATTGAATAAAATGAATAAAACTATATACATGGGGTACTTAAAAAAACCAACCTCCCTCTCATACACGTGAGAAAAGTGAGCAACTTAACTCTCATTTCAAGTTTGTGCATTAAGTCAGTTTTCAGCCATGTTATTCTTTGTATATACCTATGTCGGCATTGTTTTATGTTAAAATTGTTGGTGTTGTGTCTGCATTACGTGTGCATCTCGTTGCTATAATGACTGTGCCCCTGTGTGCTAATTGGGAGGTTGTCTGCAGGTGTGGCCCACTCTTTCACTGACGTTCCAGAGGTATAGTTCAGATTTACGGGTAATGGAACATTGCTGTCGGTGTTTGCGGTTTGCAGTCCGCTGTGTTCATCAGCACTCTGCACCACTTCTATCTCCTCTTGTGGAACAGGTAAGGAAAATCCTCCACCTATAGTACCGGAATATATTGTACCTCTCAATCATTTCCGGTCTTGGTGCACATAAGCAGTTACTTTAAATTGACTAGACCACACACAAGAAGGTGAACGGACGACGACGTTTCAGTCCGTCCTGGACCATTGTCAAGTCGATGTTGTGACACGTTTCTCAATCAACTTGAGAATGGTCCCGGACGGACCGAAACGTCGTCATCCTTTCACCTTCTAGTGAGTGGTCTGGTCAACATACTCTAGCCACGTTATTGTGACTCATCGCTACAGTTATTTTAAACAAAATGGATTTTAGTGGTTTATTATACATTTATTAAAAGTGACTTGCAAGTGGTTTTGTAGGGGCAATATACACGATCTTAAGCATGTATGTACAATTTGTTGTAATATTTGTATATTTTGGTAGCAGTCTTTCTTGTAAACATATGTTGTTGAATATGACCGAAAAGGTAAGATTTTTCTTACTGTTTCCAATAAAATTGGAATTTTGGAGAGTTGATATTTCAATTACCCTCAACAATGAAGAAAAACGTAAGAAATGTTGAGAAGATTTGTTAGAATAATAATCTTACCCTTTTGGTCATATTCAACAAGAATATGTTGTATATATGTTGGTGGTGTACCAAAAACATTTAGTCTGCTGCAAAATATAGTACCTTCATATGACTGAACTGTTTCTGGTCTTGAGATAAATAGAATTTGATGATTCCAGATATTGTATGTACATTTTGTTTGTCAGATTATTGTATGTACATTTTGTTTGTCAGATTATTGTATGTACATTTTGTTTGTCAGATTATTGTATGTACATTTTGTTTGTCAGATTGTTGGCTTATATGCTGCACATGGCCACAGTTGTTTCCTGTACCTGGGCAGCATTCTGGTTGACGAGTATGCCAGCGAGGTTGGGTGTGTGACGGGTCTTTTGGCCATGTTGGAAGCTTTTACGCAACCAACCTTCCTGCTCCTCACGCAGCCCAATGGCTTCAGAGATCATCCCGATACTGTCGACGACTGGTTCAGATTGTGCGCCAGGTAAGGTTACTCGTTTGTTTTAAAATTTATTGAACGATTTGCAGGTGTCGTCTTATGTGGCAAATGTGCGCGAGGCTTTATGGTTGCATTTGGTAGTCAAAATTACATTCTTGAAATGCAGCTTGTATGTGTGGTATTCCTCTACATGACCCTTAGTGTGCAGAAGGACAGGGCACAGTGCAAGTTAAGTAAGTTGACCAGACTACACACTAGAAGTTGAAGGGACGACGACGTTTCGGTCCGTCTTGGACCATTCTCAAGTCGACCATCGACTTGAGAATGGTCCAGGACGGACCGAAACGTGGTTGTCCCTTCACCTTCTAGTGTGTGGTCTCGTCAACATACTTCAGCCACATTATTGTGACTCATCGCCTGCTAGTTAGATAATTTCAATGTTGCGGTTGTTTGTATTGCTTCGCTAATTTTGGCGGCCTGTGCTGGCCATGATAATTACAATTAATGTTCTCTGTAATATATATATAATACTGACCCATCTTAGCCCCACTTTTTCGCTCCCTGTTCTCTATTTTCTCGGCATTTCTTGCCACCGTCTGCTTCCCTCGGTCCCAGTCAAATCTACCCCATTTTCTTCCTTCTTCCCCCTCTAGCATGTGCTAAGTCAGTCCATCTGATGTGATCTACAGTTTATGCACGTGAAGTAAACAAATTAATTGAACTGTTCCTTCAGTTCTAAGAAAAAATGCATCCCTTGGAATGTTTTAATGTTTGGAATGTGTTTAAATTTTAAGTGTTGAATAATTTTGAGAAGTATACTTTGAATACGGGAATTAGGGGAACTATTTTAATGAAAAGGTTGTATATATGTCATCAGTGGATTGTCATGTGTGTGTGTGTGTGTGTGTAGTACATTTTGTTCATAAACATGCAACGTCTGATAAATGAAAAGTATATTTTGGGGCGTGTGTAAATTTGTGGTTGCAAATAGGACCACTGACCCCCCCCCCCCCCTGCTTACAAGCTTCTAAGTTATAATGAAGCAGGACTTTGTTTAACTAGTTTAAAACATAAGTGCCCAATACCTGATCAACCAGGCTGTGACTCATACGTCAGGCTGCGAGCAGCCGCGTCTAACAGCCTGGTTGATCAGTCCAGCAACCAGGAGGCCTGGTCGACGACCGGGCCGCGGGGACACTAAGCCTCGGAAGCACCTCAAGGTAGCCTCAAGGTAGCCCAGTTACTAACATGCTTAATTTAGACCGTTATAAGCGCCTAAACTCTCCAATTTACAACTCGGTGCGTCAAAACAGTTGACCAATTATGAACCTGATGAAGATTGTTGAATATCTTACAACAACAACAACAACAACAAAATTAAGATATGAAGTTGGTCTTTAAAGACATAAATTTGCTTAGCTGCTGCTGCTGCTGTTAAAGATTTGCTACCTGGAACTACAGGTTCCAAGTAGCACGGGCTATGGTGAGCCCGTGTTGTTGAATCTTCTATCTGCTTAGCTGATAGAAGCAGTAGCCATAAAACATGCAAATGGTAGTTAGTACTAAATAAATCTACAGCTTATTAAATTGAATAGTAATACTGTAGTACAACTTGGTAATTGTCGAGGATAGACCAGAACCGTCACTTTGCTTTCTCTTTCATGCATGTGTATGGGGGGGGGGAAGGCATGTAATTATCAGCCATGTTATTGTGAGTTATTCTCTGCATAATATTAATAATCTTTCATTCAATATTTTGTCACATTTTTGAGTGAATGTTTGTAATATATTAGTGACAAACGGACTATGATGAATGATTAATATGGCTTTGCAGATTCCTTCAGCGAGCACCAGTTGCTTTCCTTCAGTGTTCAGCCTTAAACACGATCCTTGAGTGTGGACTTCAGGCGTGCATGTTGGACCATAAGGTGAGTGTATCCTTCTGAATTTGTTCTATCTCGTCTGGGAGACAATATTACCTTGAAATTATTCAAGTAGCTTACTAGGATTTAGCTGTGAAATTATTGTAGCGTAGTATTTTATGAACTAACTGTGGAGCTGTTTTAGTGACTGACTGTTTTATGAACTAACTGTGGAGCTGTTTTAGTGACTGTGTTTTATGAACTAACTGTGGAGCTGTTTTAGTGACTGACTGTTTTATGAACTAACTGTGGAGCTGTTTTAGTGACTGACTGTTTTATGAACTAACTGTGGAGCTGTTTTAGTGACTGACTGTTTTATGAACTAACTGTGGAGCTGTTTTAGTGACTGTGCCGGGGGATTTGTTTGTATTAAATTGTATTTTATTTTTTTTTAATCTTAGGAAGCAAATGCAGCCGTACTCAAGTTCTTTCAAGATTTAGTGGAGGCAGGGCGTAAACACGATGACCGACCCGATTTTGAAACTCGGCACACGTTGGTCGTTAATATTTTTAATACTCACGGCGAGAATTTAGTGAGCAACCTGGTCACTGCCGCCGTCTTTATTCTCCCTCAGTACATGCATCACGATGTTGCCGAAACTTTCTTCCAGGTCAGTTTGGTTAGACTTGTTATTGAAGTATCCCCCCCCACACACACACACACACACACACACACACACACACACACACACACACACACACACACACACACACACACACACACACACACACACACACACACACACACACACTAAGAGTCAGGACCAGGTTGTGGGAACGACCGCTGGAGTCCTGACTGTCTCAAGGTCAAGCCTACGCACAGCTGCATCTTCCTTGATTCAAAAGGTGACACCCCTAGGGTCAACACTTGCAGCAGAGGAGCTCCAGCATATTTCAACAATCCTAAGTATTGTAGTACAGGTTGATGGTAGTGAGTGGTGTCCCAGAGAACATAAAGGTATAGTGCTCTTGAAAAATAGGTGAGATAACAGGAAAGTGCTAAGGGAAGTGAAAAATCGGATGAGAAAAAGTTGCCCTAGTGTTTACAGTGCAGAGAAGAACATTCAAGATGGCCACTGGCAAGGGGAAAAACAAAACAGAGCTTGATTTTGAGGGATTCAATGAAGAAAGCATTGATATTAGTAGTCTACATAACAAGTTGGTAAATTTAGATACTATAGTGAACTCTCATGTAGAAATAATTAGTAAATTGAAAGAAAGTAATGACTATTTGAATAACAAAGTTTTATGTCTTGAGGGTTTAGTGAAAGACTTGCGCAAGGATAAGAATCAATTGGAAACAAATTGCAAAGCCATGGAAGAAGAAAATAAACTCTTAAAAATAGCTTTGGAAGAAGTTAAAGTAAATTTAAACATAAATGACTACAATAGGTTAGGCAAGGAAATTCAACAGGAGAAACAGCTTTTGTCAGCACAGATGGAGGAAGTTACACAGGGAATAGAACAGTGCAAGAAAGATATGCAACTCACTTATGCACAAGTGGCCAAGGAGAAGGAAAAAATAGAAGAAGCAGTAAAGGAAGTCAAACACTGCAGCAACCAAGATAAAACAAACATTAGGCTAGAAGTGAGGAAAGAATTGGCATCTAACCCGAAGTTGGTGCAAAACACAGTTGATCGGAGTAAGTCCCTGATCATTTTTGGCTGCAAAGAAAAGGCGATAACATCTAGGTCAGAAAGAGCTGTAGAAGAAGCTAAAGTAGTAGATAAAATTGTTGGCCTCGTGGAAGGTCTTACAAACAGAGAGAATGTGTGCGACTACAGGAGAATAGGCAGGTACGTAAAAGGGAAAGATCGACCTTTGAGGATCACCCTAAACGGTGCCAAACAGATGGAAGAAGTACTAAGGAATGCTAGAAAATTGCAAAGGGATGAGGATGGGAAAGGGTGGTCGTTAAGACGAGATCTTTCAAAAGAAGATAGAGAGAAGCTGAAACTGAACCTCGCCGAGGCAAAACATTTAAATGAGAGCAGGAATGAAGAAGAAATAAATTCTTTTTTCTACAAAGTGATAGGGGTAGGCAAACCAGTAAAGTGGTACATAAAGGCAAACCAACAAAATCAATAGAGAGAGGGGGAGTGAAGAATAAGGAGAGGGGGAACAAGTTCCTGAAGATTGCATACACCAACATAGATGGAGTGAGATCGAAGATACTGGAGTTAAGTGATGTAATACAGCTGCAGACACCAGACATTGTTGCACTCACGGAGACAAAACTTGAAGATGTAATTTTAAATGAGGTCATATTCCCAAGGGGCTACTCAATTTGGAGACGGGACAGAAAAATTAGGAAAGGCGGTGGCGTTGCTGTGCTGGTAAAAGAACACCTAAAGGTGAAGGAAATAATGACTGCCAATCCACAAGAAGTTGACATAATAGCACTAGAGATCTGCTATGAGGATGATAAACTAATGATGATAAATGCATATAGTCCACCGCCAAGCAGCACATGGTCAAAGGAGGAGCTAGATAGTAAACGTGAAGGTCTTATAACAATAATGAGAGAGATTATAGCGGGAGCGGATTACGATAGATCACGACTGTTGATAGTCGGTGACTTCAACTTGAAATCCATAGACTGGGAAGCATATGAAGCTAAAACAGAAGATTTTTGGACCTGTAAATTTGTAGACCTCATCCTGGAAACATTCTTGTATCAACATGTTAAACAAGCTACGAGGATGAGGGAAGGGGACGTTCCCTCCATGCTAGATTTGATATTTGACATTCAGTACCTTCCTCCCTTGGGTAAAAGTGACCATGTCTTTTTGGGAATAAAGTATGCAATGCGTTATAAGCTGGAAGAAAATAAGGAGGTTGAAGCAGTTGAAAAACCAGACTTCAGGAGAGGACATTATGGTGACCTTAGAAATTTTTTTAGTGAGTATAATTGGACAGACTTGATGCTAGGCAAGGAAGTGAATGAGATGTATGGCAAGTTTTGTGAAATATATGATAAAGGCACAAAAAAATTTATACCAAAACAGAGATGCAGAACTAGGAAACAGGATTGGTTCAATAGAAATTGCGAGAGGGCTAGAGACCGAAAGACACAAAAATGGAATCAATACAGGAAGAGGCCGAACCCCCAAACATACCAGCGATACAAAGATGCGAGAAACAACTACACGGCAGTGAGGAGAGAGGCAGAAAGAAATTTTGAAAAAGGGATTGCGGACAAATGTAAAACAGAACCAGGTCTATTCTATAAATTCATAAACAACAAATTGCAGGTAAAGGATAATATTCAGAGGTTGAAAATGGGAAATAGATTCACGGAAGATGAAAAGGAAATGTGTGAAACACTAAACGAAAAGTTCCAAAGTGTGTTTGTACAAAATGAAATCTTTAGGGAACCAGATACAATAAGAATTCCAGAGAACAACATAGAACACATAGAGGTGTCTAGAGACGAAGTGGAAAAAATGCTCAAGGAGCTCGGTAAGAACAAAGCAGCTGGCCCAGATGGCGTTTCACCATGGGTTCTGAGAGAATGTGCATCTGAGCTCAGCATTCCACTTCACCTGATCTTTCAGGCATCCCTGTGTACAGGAATCGTAGCAGACGGGTGGAAACAGGCTAACATAGTTCCAATCTACAAAAGTGGCAGCAGGGAAGACCCCCTCAATTATAGACCTGTATCATTGACAAGTGTAATAGTGAAAGTATTGGAAAAACTAATCAAAACTAAATGGGTAGAACACCTAGAGAGAAATGATATAATATCAGACAGACAGTATGGTTTTCGATCTGGAAGATCCTGTGTATCGAATTTACTCAGTTTCTATGATCGAGCCACAGAGATATTACAGGAAAGAGATGGTTGGGTTGACTGCATCTATCTGGACCTAAAAAAGGCTTTCGACAGAGTTCCACATAAGAGGTTGTTCTGGAAACTGGAAAATATTGGAGGGGTGACAGGTAAGCTTCTATCATGGATGAAAAATTTTCTGACTGATAGAAAAATGAGGGCAGTAATCAGAGGCAATGTATCAGAATGGAGAAATGTCACAAGTGGAGTACCACAGGGTTCAGTTCTTGCACCAGTGATGTTTATTGTGTACATAAATGATCTACCAGTTGGTATACAGAATTATATGAACATGTTTGCTGATGATGCTAAGATAATAGGAAGGATAAGAAATTTAGATGACTGTCATGCCCTTCAAGAAGACCTGGACAAAATAAGTATATGGAGCACCACTTGGCAAATGGAATTTAATGTTAATAAATGTCATGTTATGGAATGTGGAATAGGAGAACATAGACCCCACACAACCTATATATTATGTGAGAAATCTTTAAAGAATTCTGATAAAGAAAGAGATCTAGGAGTGGTTCTAGATAGAAAACTATCACCTGAGGACCACATAAAGAATATTGTGCAAGGAGCCTATGCTATGCTTTCTAACTTCAGAATTGCATTTAAATACATGGATGGCGATATACTAAAGAAATTGTTCATGACTTTTGTTAGGCCAAAGCTAGAATATGCAGCTGTTGTGTGGTGCCCATATCTTAAGAAGCACATCAACAAACTGGAAAAGGTGCAAAGACATGCTACTAAGTGGCTCCCAGAACTGAAGGGCAAGAGCTACGAGGAGAGGTTAGAAGCATTAAATATGCCAAAACTAGAAGACAGAAGAAAAAGAGGTGATATGATCACTACATACAAAATAGTTACAGGAATTGATAAAATCGACAGGGAAGACTTCCCGAGACCTGGAATTTCAAGAACAAGAGGTCATAGATTTAAACTAGCTAAACACAGATGCCGAAGAAATATAAGAAAATTCACCTTCGCAAATAGAGTGGTAGACGGTTGGAACAAGTTAAGTGAGAAGGTGGTGGAGGCCAAGACCGTCAGTAGTTTCAAAGCGTTATATGACAAAGAGTGCTGGGAAGACGGGACACCACGAGCGTAGCTCTCATCCTGTAACTACACTTAGGTAATTACACACTTAGGTAATTACGTACACATACACGTACGTACGTACGTGTGGAGTTGGCAACATTTGGCCGTCTTGCACTTGACCCTCGGTCACCTTCATTTTGCATGTGTGGGGTCGGGTTACTGGTTTTCAGGCACTTTATTGTGACGTATTCTTCACGCGTCTTATCAAGTTCCTTTATTGTTTGTTAATTATGTTTTACTGTATATTAACTCTTGTTCTTTGCCTTTAGTAATAAATGTGATGATTTAAACTAGTGGTAAAAGGCAAGACGGTATTTTCCTCGGCGGTGTCAAAATGCATCTCTAATACATTTTCTGCTTTCTCCCTCAGATTATGCAATTTGACCGTCCAAAGTTTTGTCTGTGGTTAGAGGCGAAGTTAAAGGTGTTGCCAACCAAGAATTCCGGGGGTGTGGAGGCAATCACTCAGACCGAGTTGGTGGAGTTCCACAAGGCTGTGACACAGGCGGAGCGCACCAAGGAAATTACTAGAGCGCTGGTAGACTTTTCAAGATTCTTCAGCTGACATGATAGACAGCATAGATGAGGGCCAGTGAGGTGGCTAACATGACAGCCTTGACACCTGTCGTGGACTAATGCAATGGACAGTGAAGTTTAGAATCACTTGTGAGGTATTTCACTATTGTTGAGAGGCTGCTAGAATGACCTCGGTGATGGAATTGCAGCGGAAAGGAATATATCCTAAAGTTGAGGATGCATCAGATGATCAAATCTGAAAAATGGTATTGGCTTCGACAGTTTTCAAATTTATATATCAAGAGATTTCTGAAGAATGAAGATATTGATTCCAGTAACCTTAGCATACTGTTATAATGACTTTAGCAAGTGCTTGGTTATCCATTATATTGAAAGTAATCCAGTGAGATATGAATTCTTTGTAAGTTTAGTACAGGACTGTCTCATTAATCTAAGCATTCATAAGAGTTGTGTGAAATGTGGCCGTTTTACACTTTGACATCGGTTAAATATTACTTTGGGAATTTGAGGAGGAAATTTCTTAAACATGACATCGATTGGAATGGTACATCTATAGGGCTTGGAAAAAATTAATTTTTGACATAAGTGAACTTGGGAGACAGTTTAATGTTGTCATAAATTTGCAATCAAGTATAATTCATGTTTAACTTGTAAAAAATGTAGATTTGATTTTATAATTTTATTTTCTGTATGGTTATGAAAAAGAGCTGTTGCTTGTCTATGGACTTTGAAGAGGCATCTGCTGAATTCCAAATAATGGCATTGCTTCTTTCTTGTGATAACTTGACACGCAGAACATTTCTGTGTGGTTGAAGGACAAAATTGTGCCTAGTACTTTGGCATTGTGCAATGCTCGTGTGTTAATAGTTGTGTGAACGACAAACATTAATGAGGTGTGGGAATGCGGTGCATGTATCTGTGACTGTGCTTCTCGTCTCATGCCACGTAGTGCGTGGCTTGGGCTTTAGAATTTCTCCAAATTTCAGATATTCAAGAGTCAAAATTCACGTGTATGAGAAATTGTGTACACTATTTTGGTTTAGTTTAATACCCATTTTTAGTTTTGAATGTGTGGAGTGATACACCCAAACCAAATCCGTGAAGTACTTGTTGTTTGCCGTGACGGATTATGCCCGTCGTCTGGCTGATGTGTCGTGAATGCAGCTCGGATGATCCCTTGCGAGTAATGCACCGTTCCCTGTACATTGGTCACTGGTATATTACCTGGTTGAGTGTGGAGGTAAGATTATTAAATGGTTTTAAATTTTCAAAATATTGTTTATTGAAGCGTGTTTCACTGTAGAGCTCTGAAGATGCTCCACACTGTTCTAGATGATTTAATAATGAACAGTTATCTTAAAAGCAGCTTGTTGCTCAAGGACACGAATAGCTAGTGTGTCCATATTATGACAGCAGTGAGGGTCGGAGCAGCAGCACCACGAGGACCTTCTTCGTGCCCGTGAGGGTCCGAGCAGGAGCAGCACCACAAGGACCTGCTTCGTGCCCGTGAGGGTCCAGGCAGGAGTACCACAAGGACCTGCTTCGTGCCACAGTCACTGTAAATTACCGACAGTTTGTTCTGTCTCTCTTCCTCCACACACTGAGGTCTCTTCCTTTCCCATCCATATATGGCTGTAACCTGGATACAGTTTTGTTACTTCTGGTAAATACAGTCATGATTACTTTGTAGTACGTGTTTGTATTCCCTTTGTACATGGTCAACATCTGTACTGGATTTTTAAAACATTTTAACAGTAGTGAATTTATATTGTGCATTGAGCATAGTGGTCTTAGTTGTAACATTTCTGTACTGTACATTTATTTAAAATTTAAGAAAATGTCAAGGGTAATTTTTTTTTTATTAAATTTTGTGCAATATTTTAGTCTACAGATTATTAGTTCATATTAAATAAACGATGCTTGTTCACTTCTTAGTCTTGTTTTTGAAGTAGATGATATAGTGCAGTCATGTATGTTACGAGTCATTAGCAAAATGGATACCCGTGAGAATCAATATGCTGCTCGTAATTAATGATAATTGTAATTAGAAAAACCATGAATGAAATTTACATTACTGAAAACATAATTTTTGATTAATACACAAGATAAATGGAGGAAGTTAATATATTTTAATGTTCTTCGTTGAGAAAATTATAAAGTGTATTTACGGCTTTTGGGATCTCTCGTGACAGTGCTGGATAGTCTTCCCAGCTTGGTGCCTTGTTTTGATAATGTGTAAGCACTGAACATACAACTTAACGTTGTATAAAACACTGAAAAAGTGTGCAGCTAAAACAGGCTTAGTCTTGTCCAACCGCAGACCCCCTCCCTTTCCAGGTCATTGTCGTCGTGAGGGGACACCAAGGGGACACCTGTTAGGATCTCCAAAAATGCCCAGTTAAATGCCAGTATTGGTACTGTTATCCTCCCGCACCATGTTACAACTGGTGTTAGGGACCTGAAAGACTGTCATGAGGATATTAAACATATTCTTGAAGTCCAATGCCATTCTGTCCTCCAGGTTGATACATTTACCCGTTCCCATTGTGGTCGTCATCAGCCCCTTCGAGTTGTGAAGATCACATTTGATAGCAAGACTGTTCTGAGTACATTCCTTCTAGATTTTGCAATAAGTGCTGGAAATTTCAGCATGGTGCCCTCAAATGCACAAGTGCAATGTGTGTATGCCCCTTGTGTGGAGACTCGGGGTCACTAAGACGGAGTGCTCTTCTTCTAAGGCTCACTGCATCAATAGTGGCGGTGCCCCACCTTACCTTCTCCCGCGTGTGTGTGCGCACTACAAATTTGAGGAAACCATGCTCAATTTGAAGCACTGCGATCGTCTTCCCGAGGCAAGTCGCCAAGTCTGTCATCTCCCCTCTTTCGCTAGCATGTCTTATGCTTGTGTGCTGTGTTCTACCTCTCCTCGCCCTTCCCTCCTTTCTCAGTCTCGCAACAGTTTCCGGGTCTTGGACCCGGACACCACCTCACCCGCTCCTTTACGTTCTGAACCAGAAGGTACTTTTGGTTCTTCGTCTGGTGTTTCCTTCCTTCTCAGTCTGCTCCCGTCTCTTATGTCCTCTTTTTCTCCCCCCCCCCTCCCCCCCAGTCCTCCTTCCCAGCCCTCCCCTTTGTCTTGGCTCTCCATGCCGCTTGTCTGTCCAGGTTATTGTCCATCATCCTTTCAGCAATCTTTGTGTTAATCGCTCTCGTTCTTCTTCTCCTGTTAAGACTAAGGCAGCTGTCGCCCAGTACGTTGTTGCTGGCACAAGTCTCTCTAAGACAGAAACATAAGCCTGGCTCCTCTCGTCTTCCTCCTCGGCAGGTAAGAAGGCATCGCTTTCTTCCTTGCCTTCCGACTCCGATTTTATCCCTGTATCCCCTCCCATTTTGGTGGTTGAGCCGTCCTGTCGCAGCTATGGAGGTTTCCTTGGTCCTCTATATTCTCTTGGTGAGGTGCACTTCCCTGTTTGTCCCCCCTTTCCCTGACCCCCTTGACTGCCTCTCTCCAATGCCCCTCCCACTCCGGACGTCTGCTGCTGGTCCGTCCTCTCACTTCCTTGACTCCATCGTCCCTGCTAGATTTACCTAACCCCGACTTCACTGATCCTGATCCTACCTAGTATACCGTGTTCTTTGCCTTTGTTTCTTTCTTGTTCTTAGTTTCTGTTCTCTCTTTTTGACAATGTCTATTATTCAATGGAATATTCAAGGATTATATGCTAACTTCCACGTACACCAACTTCTGATAACACGGTTTTCACTGCTTTGTGTCTTTCTCCAGGAGCCGGTGCTTGGCGCTCGTCCTGATCACTTCCGTGGTTACAGTATTCCTTTCTCCCCCCCCCCCCTCCCTCCCCAGCTTTTACTGGGGCCCATAACTCTACTGTTATTTTGATTTTTACTGATTTTCCCTCGTGTCCCCTACTTTTTTCATCGCCTATCTCCAATGGTTCTGCTGCCCGTGTTTTTATGAGTAAATGGTATACGATCTGTTCCATTTATCTCCCCACAAATGTCCCACTTTCTCTCCCTGATCTTAAGCACCTGTTGGACTCCTTATCAGAGCCTGTGCTCTTTTTGGGTGATTTCAACTGTCGGCACACCCTCTGGGGTGATGCTCCGACAAACACTCGAGGCCGCCGCCTTGAACCTTTTGTCCTCTTCTGAATTCTGGTGAAGCCACTCATGTGGACTGCAGCACTCGCACCCTCTCCTGTCTTGATCTTTCTCTCTGCTCGTCTTCTCTTTACTTTGATTTCACATGGCGGGTTCTTGATGACCTCTATAACAGTGATCATTTCCCCAGCCTTTTTCTCTCTTCACGCTCCCCTCTGCTTCCATAGGTGGCAGTTTGACGACGGACTCTACTTGGGCTGTCCATTGTAAGCGTGCTGTGGAAACTGGGTTCCTACTTTTCGACTGTCAGAGGAAGACGAGAAGCAGAGCTATCTTTCCTTATTCGCAAGTCCTTTCTTGAATCATATCCCTTAGATTTTTGCCCTCGCCTCCGGCTTCCCTATAACAATCCCTTCTCGTTCAGAACTTCAGTCCGCCATGGTCCTTGGCGGTTAAGTGGCAGCAGGCTCATGATATTCATCGAGATGCTTTATCTCCTTCCACGCGCGTTTCAGTATTTACTGAATCTGTATAAGCGTATCTGGGAGTTTTCAGTCCCCGAGGACTGGCTCGAGGGGGGTTATTCTTCCTGTTTGGAAACCAGAGTCTCTAGGAACATCTAAAGACTTCCTTCTGCCCCATTGCTCTCACGAATTGCATCTGCAAACTCTGAGCGTATGTTCAATGTCCGTCTGATGTGATCATTAGAACACTATCACCACCTCTTCCCTTTTCAATTTGGCTTTTGCAAGTGCCGCAGCACAACTGATGTCTTTGTGAACTTTGAGATCTATATTTGTACTGCTTTTGCTGCAAAGACCTCTGTTGTTGCTGTCCTCTTTGACCTTGAAAAGGGATAAGATGCCACCTGGAGATACCATATTCTGTCCCAACTCTTCTTTTGGTCTTCGTGGTAATCTCCCTCTTCCTCCAATGCTTCCTCTAGTTGTTTATTTAGTGAGGCTTGGTACCGCACACTCTTCCTCTCTTTGGCCATACAAAGGCCATGTTCCGAGCACTACTCTTTCTGGTTGCTCTCAATGGTCTTTCCTCCCTTCCCTCCGACATCATCTCTGTTCTGTCGATCTTACCCTCGGCTGTCGAAGCGATTGACTTCCTTCAACGACGGCTTCAACTTGAGATTGATGCCGTGTCGTCCTGGGCCACCAAGCATGGCTTCAAGCTCTACAACTAAAACTTGTGCTATACTTATTTTGAAGCAGGTCGTTCTTGGGGTTACCCCCCCCCCCCTCCCTCTTTTGTCGCTATATGGTCATCCCTTGTGTACAAAGATTGTTACGCTGTTGGGATTAATCTGACACTTTTTGCCCTGGTCACCCTACCTCTCCTACCTCAGAGTTGAATGCTCTCAAGGCCCTTAAGGTCTTGTCCCATACTTCTTGGAGCAGATAAGCGCACACTACATTCCTCTCGTGCTGTTTTAAACTATTATGGTTGCCCTGCTTACTAGTCTGCCTCTCCTACTCTTCGCTGTCTTGCCACTGCACCATACTGGGTCGTGTCTCAGTTCTGGTGCCTTTCCTTCGACTCCTACCACTAAGCCTGCATGTTGAAACTGCCGACCTGTCTACAGGGATCGCTACTGTTTTCGCTACCTTGCACGGTCTTTAACAACACCCTCACTCGCTTATATCATACTTTGACCTTTACCACTCCTTTGGCCCCTGTTCCCCTTCACCACTTACCTCTATCTGTACGGTTGCCTCACTTACAAGATTCTATCTTGAACACTTCACACTCCCGCTCCATTTCCATCTTCACCGATGGGTTTAAGAGTACACCGTCAGCAGACTTAATTATGTTTCCCGTCACCTGTGTGTGTGTGTCCTTCCTCCAGAGACTAGCATCTCCACGGTCGAACTTTATACTATTTTGTATGCTCTTCGTCAACTGCTGTCAATCCTCCTCTGTGGTTGTCGACTCCATGCCCTCATGGCTATTGAGTCCTTTAATCCAGTCCATGTTGTTGTTGCAATTTCTTATGAATCGGTCCTGCTCATTGTCCAAACGGCAATATCCCTTTTTCGGTCATGCATATCCATGTTGAATGTCTACTTCCAGGACGAACGCGTGTCTTGCTTCACGACCATCCCTCGCGGTCACCTGTCCCTTTAGAATTCTTGGCAATTCGGATTCCTTCAATATCCTCTTGTACACTTTTGTTCTCGTATTGACATCCTTGGTGATATTTAGTGCGGAACAACGCAGGAGACCAGCGGGAGTGGTCACGTAACTATTTCCTCGTTCCGGGGACAGTGAAAGCATCAGTTCTCGCTCCAGGGCACCTCAATATGCGGGTCACTGCCCTTCAGTGGGTGGCGACCAACAAAAGCGAGCGAGGTTAAGTAACCTACAATTCACGAGGCTGACGGTCATGTTGCCAGGCCACTTGTGGCAGCCACTCACATCTTTGCTATTTTGAATTAAAGTAGAGCTTCACCTTAAACCAATTAAAAAGCATATTCATTATTAATGTAAAAATTTTAGTTCACATAGCTTGTTCCATCTCGGTTTCAGTTAAACATTGAACATTCGTGCATCACTTGTTAATTTATTAAACATTTTGAAAAAGTACATCCCTCTAAAGTTTCCAATGAAACTATTTAATGTCATGGTAGAATGTCATGCAGAACTTCCCCCCCCCCATTATCTTCCTAACTCTAGAAATATAATTAAATCTATAAATATGCATTTATGATATGTACAAGTAACAGTTTAGAGATTTATTACTTTAGTACACTGGGTCACAATATAGAATGCAGTTCTGTGGACACATAGGCAAATGAAGTAGTTATTTAGGTGGTTAGAATGGGTTTGCATTTAAAAAAAAAAAAAAAATTTTAAAACACTGAAGAGTCTAGCCAGCGTTCAAGTTTCTTCCAGATATTCACTGCCAAACAAAAGTCATTCAGTGTAGATACCTAGCAAGGTCACTGGGAGCGAGGCCCAAAAATAGTGCCACAACCAGGTAACCCACCTACACTCTGGTCTGTAAGAGGGAGGGGGTAATGTGTACATATAAACCCCCCCCCATCCCCCTACATGGTGACTTTGAAGTCACAATTCATTAATAGTTTTCCTTAACTGAAGAGTTAAGGATTTATTAATTTTTCTCTACAGAAAAAGAAGAAATTACCCTAACGACACTTAAGTCGCTACTAGCAAGATGTGTAGACACAAAGCATTAGGACACCGCCTGGATAAGGTATTCAAGATTATGAACTAGTTTAAAATTTAATATTTTACAACATCACCATTCAGGAAACCAGGCCATTTTCTGACAAAAAATACATCAAAGGCTTGTCTCGCAGATGACACTTGACGTGGTGACAGGCAATGTGGTCGTCATGTTGTTGCAGATGTTCTCAAGTACCCCAAGACTGTCCTGGGTTGCCTGGGGGTGGTCACCTGAGGATGGAAGGGCCAAGTTATCAGAACCATTATATTCCTTAAAATAAGATTTCTTAAATCTTGTGATAAAGTTATCTTTTATAGACCTCTTTACAACAGTTTAAGCCCTTATGAGTAATCTGTACTTAAAAAATCTACCAAATACCCTGTATGTTAGGACAATTTGAGCTGTATGACTGACTAATAGAGTAAAACTAGTCATACGGACCCTGCAGCAAGAGACCAGTTGGTGCAGAACAGTATCAGGATGACCCAGGTCCCCTGCCTCACTAGTTGGTGTAGTACAGTGTACCGGGATGACCACCTCCAGGTCCCCTGCCTCACTAGTTGGTGTAGTACAGTGTACCGGGATGACCACCGCCAGGTCCTCCTGCCTCACTAGTTGGTGTAGTACAGTGTACCGGGATGACCACCGCCAGGTCCTGCCTCACTAGTTGGTGTAGTACAGTGTATCGGGATGACCACCGCCAGGTCCTCCTGCCTCACTAGTTGGTGTAGGACAGTGTACCGGGATGACCACCTCCAGGTCCTCCTGCCTCACTAGTTGGTGTAGTACAGTGTACCGGGATGACCACCGCCAGGTCCTCCTGCCTCACTAGTTGGTGTAGTACAGTGTACCGGGATGACCACCTCCAGGTCCTCCTGCCTCACTAGTTGGTGTAGTACAGTGTACCGGGATGACCACCGCCAGGTCCTCCTGCCTCACTAGTTGGTGTAGTACAGTGTACCGGGATGACCACCGCCAGGTCCTCCTGCCTCACTAGTTGGTGTAGTACAGTGTACCGGGATGACCACCGCCAGGTCCTCCTGCCTCACTAGTTGGTGTAGTACAGTGTACCGGGATGACCACCTCCAGGTCCTCCTGCCTCGCTAGTTGGTGTAGTACAGTGTACCGGGATGACCACCGCCAGGTCCCCTGCCTCACTAGTTGGTGTAGTACAGTGTACCGGGATGACCACCGCCAGGTCCCCTGCCTCACTAGTTGGTGTAGTACAGTGTACCGGGATGACCACCTCCAGGTCCTCCTGCCTCACTAGTTGCCACTTGTCCACGTCAACTATTCCACCTAACAAAACAAATATGTAGTTTCAGAACAATTTGGCCATTTAGTAAATCTTAGTCCAGCAGAAGGACCATATTTAAAGTTTAATGCACATTTTAATGATTTATTACAATGCTAAACATTAATAACAAGTAAACTCACTTTTGACGATAATGCCGTTTGTGAAGTCTTCCTTATTGTTGTCTTGGATACCAACTAGCTGGAAGTCTCTGCCAAGACTAGCAGTAAGAGTTTGCTTGTTCCCAGCTGTAGTCTTCAGTATTCACACACTGAGAAATTGTAGTTCTTACCAGCCATCTTCACGTGTCTGAAAAAGTTGAAAATTAAATTAATCTAAATTAACTAAAAAGGGAACAAAATAAGAGCCTTGTTGAGGATTCTAACCTGCATGTTGGGTACACCAAGCACATTACTAGTTTAATCTAGGGGATTTAGAGTGTTTAACAAAATCAAACTGGAACATTTTACCTACTACATTACCAGGTCTTCCACAGGATGGAGTGTCAAGTTTGCTGTGGTCTTTAAGGCTGGAAGACTTAAGCTGGGGTACCTTAAATACAGGAAGGGGTTGGAAGGACAATGGTGCCACTTGAGTGAACTGTTTGATATAAAATGGAACTGGAAAGAGTTTGAAACCGGTTAGTATCTTTAGAAGTGTGGAGACTTTACCTGAAGGTAGACTTTTGGGAAGGCAGAGGCGAGGCAAAAACTGGTGCAGCCAATTGCAAGCGTCTCCTGCCTTGCATTATTGAAGGTGTGGATATTTTGTTTTCTTCAAAGTTTCTTGACCTTGTGCTTAATTGTCTTTAAGAGTCTGGTTTGCTTGATACCATGTATCGACAGCAAACTTTTCAATTAACTCCGTGACCAAAGTTTTAAGTATTGGCCAGAGGGTGTCCATTTGCGCGGGAGCACCACCACTACTGCGCTGGTTTGGGGCCCCGTTTACTCTTTGGCACTTAGGAGTGGAAACCGACACTCATGCCTTCCCCCCGACCAGTACCTCCCCGAGGTACTGGTTGATCAGTCCAGCAACCAGGAGGCCTGGTCGACGACCGGGCCGCGGGGACACTAAGACCCGGAAGCACTTCAAGGTAACCTCAAGGTAACCCCCCTCCCCAAGTGTGCTTACTGGTTGCAATGGGCGGGCGACTACGCTCAACTATTTTCTTGTGGCTCCCCCAGCCATCCGTCTGTCCTGGACGGAGGCCCTCACACCCTTCACCATGGGCCTCCTCAACCTGGTTTAGTCTTGGTACACTTCACGCTGTTTGCAGGCAGGGCAGCTGGTATGTTTTGGCTGGGGCTTCGGCTCTGCTAAAGACGTGGGGAGGGGGGCCGGTTAGTTTGAAAAATTAAAAAAAATCAAATGTTTATTCAGGTAAAGTATATACATAAAAGGTGTGATACAAACATTGATGGATTTAGAGAGAGCTAGTACACACAATGCCTAAAGCCACTTATGCAAAGCGTTTCGGGCAGGAAAACATTAAGACAAACTTAATACTAATTGAGATTAAAGTATAAAATGTGTCTTGGGAAAAAATTAAAAAAAGGAGGGGGGGGAACGCTGCAGAAAACTAGCAAATATACAATTTGGTCGACAAACAGCATTGTTGAAAATAGACATGGGTTGACATTTAGGGGTGAGGTAGGTTACATTGAGTTATTAGGTAGTGTTTAGTTTTTATCTTAAACTGGTTGGGAGAGGTAGTCTAACATGATTAGGAAGGTCATTCCACATTCTGGGTCCCTCGAGTTTTAAAGCATTTCTAGTTTGGTTAAGTCGTACTCTTGGCATATCAAATAGGTATTTGTTTCTGGTGTGGTGCTCATGGGTTCTGTTACAACCTTCTAGGAAGCTTTTAAGGTCAGGATTGACATTACAGTTCAGCGTTTTATATTTATAAAATACACATGAGGGAACGTGCAGTGACATAACATATTCAGAGATTTGAGTAAGGGTACGGAGTGATGTCTGGGGCCAGTTTTGGATATTGTCCTAATAGCAGCTTTGTGTTGAGTAATTAGAGGACGTAAATGATTTTGGGTAGTAGAACCCCAAGCACAAATACCATAGTTGAGATAAGGATAGATGGAGGAATAGTGTTACCAGGGCAGGGCAAGGTACATAATATCTGATCTTAGAAAGAATGCCAAACAGTTTTTAAAACTGATATATTTAGAACATGTCCCTGGAAATTCAGCTTTTAGTCAATGAGAACGCCAAGGAATTTGCCATCTACTTTGTTACAAATTTGGGTGGTTTTTATCCTGAGATTTGATTCAGGGCATAAAGTACCAGTCGGGGCGAGTCTTAGATCAATGAGTACCCCGCTTGGACGGGTCTGATTTGCTTGTTTACCAAGGCATATTTTCGTGTCGTGGGGCTGGCTGCAGACTCCACACCTCACTGGGCGTTGGCAGCCAGCCTTGTGATGTCCACATCTGAGGGGCTCTGGGGGTGTGAGGCCTGTGTTAAAACACGCCCTAAATGCCAAGATAGGACGGATCCCAGAGAAAATTTATGCGAGGACGACTTTTCGGGTTTCCCGCTTGGTGGCCTTTACCTGCCATCTTTCTGCAGACACTACATAATTGGGAAAACTAATCCCATGGGAAAACCCATGTCTATTTTAAACAATGCTGTTTGTTGACCAACTTCTATAATGGTCTATTTCTGCCATGTCCCCCCCCCCCCCCAACAATTTATACTTTACTCTCAATTACTATCAAGTTTTAGTTTAAGGGAAGTTTAAGGAAGGGAGCCAGTCGGCCGAGTGGACAGCACGCTGGTCTTGTGATCCTGTGGTCCTGGGTTCGATCCCAGGCACCGGCGAGAAACAATGGGCAGAGTTTCTTTCACCCAATGCCCGTTACCTAGCAGTAAAATAGGTACCTGGGTGTTAGTCAGCTGTCACGGGCTGCTTCCTGGGGGTGGAGGCCTGGTCGAGGACCGGGCCGCAGGGACACTGAAAGCCCCGAAATCATCTCAAGATAACCTCAAGAAGGGTCCTTGCCCTCCCCCCCCCCCTCACCTTGCCCGAAACGCTGTGCGTGTTATCTGCTTTAGGTATTGTATGTACTACCTCTATAAATGCAACATCATGTTTGTAACTACATCTGTCTATGTACTCTTACCCGAATAACAATTTTGAATTCAGCTTTCCGAGACGAGCTAGGACCAGATGCCAGGGATAATGGAGGACAAGGATTTTTCGTATTTTGTCCTCTGCCTCGAGTTCTTCGCATTTTCTGTAATTTTTAAGAATTGTTACAGCGGTCTTGTCTTTGGATCTCAGAATATATTCGCCTCTGAAGTTTGGCTTTACTCTGATCTAGAGTTAGGGGGGGGTAGTTCTTCCCCCACCCTCCAAGGTCCACTAGAGTGGTGTACGAAGACTTTCCTTCAGCACGCTGCACCTTGAACTGTGACAGTGCTGATTCAGCAACCCGTCCTCGACTCTAGTCCATTACAAGCAGCGGTCGACCCCACAGACGCATTCATAAATTTTAACATGCTGTTCATTCAAAACAGTAATTCTCAAATATAAATTAATATTATGATATATTAGCATATTGTGCATATATAGCCATAGGTTAGGTTGTTGGGTTCTGTTGGCGATTATTTGTATTTGTAGTAGGTGGGTGAAGCATTTATAGCGTTGTGGTTCGAACACAATTCGTCAGTGAAGCACTTGTTCCGGAAGTGCTCGAACGAAATGAGTTGCGAGTCGTGTGTAAACAGTTTTTCATTCATAAACGGGGTTTGGCGGGTGCATGGAATCACTTTTGGATCTTTGTTTGGAGGACGGGCTAGATTCAGTGTGGTTAGCTGGGGTGCTCATGGGTAGAGGCCCATGTTCTTGATAGGCCGTCATGGAATGGTTCTTCATGTTGGTTCTGGTCACAGGACGCCTGTCGCCATCACTGTCGGAACTTGTACTGAAGAGTTCTCCTTTTGTAATTGGGAACAATGTTGGTTGTCACACAATTCAGCTGCTGGTCCAATTCTATCTGCTAAATGCCGACTGTGTAGTGATGTGGTTGCACTGAATCACTGCTGAAATTACAATTATAGAGTGTGTGTTGTCTCATCTTTCCTTTTATAACCAGCAGGCAACCAAACCCGGCCGCTGATTGGTTGACATTCACCCTAACACTCGCCCCATTGGTTAACATTTTGCGCGTCTCAAATGTCAATTAACAATGGCCAACAGCCACTCCTTCACTTCCCCAAATACGAACGAGTCTAATGAACCAACAATGATCTCCAGCTTAAATGTTTGAAGTTGTTAATTTCAAAATCTAATTCACAAACCAAATACAACATTCTATTGTAACTGTTGCAACAGAGCAACATTTACAATAGACACTGCAGTGAAGTAGCAATCGTCCGTCAGTCAAGAACTGTTAACGGCGCTCCACAACTACAATAAAAAACTAACAAACCTAACAGCCTAAAGTTCCTGACACAACACTGAATGATGTTAAATCTTTGCTTTATTTATATTTGCGTTAATATATACAAGTTGATCAATTTAACATCAAATATTTGATGTTAAATTATTTTGTAACTTAAGATATTGCTCGTTAATGACAAATTAAGTGATTTTTAACTTATTGAAGTGTGGACATTTATGCTTTATAATAACTATCAACATCCAGGATAACATTGTTGAGAACATTATTGTGCACAAGTAGTGTCCACGACCACCAACAGGTGGCAGTGGACCCCATCATCGTGGGACTTGTAGACGCTATATATGAGTTGCGTGTTGGACGCGGTCGTGATTGGGTGTGTTATTGAGTGAGTTCCCGGTGGCCGGCCGGTGTCATGGCGGCTGCTGAAGGTGCGGCCGGCGTCGTGGCGGCTGCTGAAGGTGCGGCCGGCGTCGTGGCGGCTGCTGAAGGTGCGGCCGGCGTCATGGCGGCTGCTGAAGGTGCGGCCGGCGTCATGGCGGCTGCTGTAGGTGCGGCCAGCGTCATGGCGGCTGCTGTAGGTGCGGCCAGCGTCATGGCGGCTGCTGTAGGTGCGGCCGGCGTCGTGGCGGCTGCTGTAGGTGCGGCCGGCGTCATGGCGGCTGCTGAAGGTGCGGCCGGCGTCATGGCGGCTGCTGAAGATGCGGCCGGCGTCATGGCGGCTGCTGTAGGTGCGGCCAGCGTCGTAGCGGCTGCTGAAGGTGCGGCCGGCGTCATGGCGGCTGCTGAAGGTGCGGCCAGCGTCATGGCGGCTGCTGAAGGTGCGGCCGGCGTCGTGGCGGCTGCTGAAGGTGCGGCCGGCGTCGTGGCGGCTGCTGTAGGTGCGGCCAGCGTCATGGCGGCTGCTGTAGGTGCGGCCGGCGTCGTGGCGGCTGCTGAAGGTGCGGCCGGCGTCATGGCGGCTGCTGAAGGTGCGGCCGGCGTCGTGGCGGCTGCTGAAGGTGCGGCCGGCGTCATGGCGGCTGCTGTAGGTGCGGCCGGCGTCGTGGCGGCTGCTGTAGGTGCGGCCGGCGTCGTGGCGGCTGCTGTAGGTGCGGCCGGCGTCGTGGCGGCTGCTGTAGGTGCGGCCGGCGTCGTGGCGGCTGCTGTAGGTGCGGCCGGCGTCGTGGCGGCTGCTGAAGGTGCGGCCGGCGTCGTGGCGGCTGCTGAAGGTGCGGCCGGCGTCGTGGCGGCTGCTGAAGGTGCGGCCGGCGTCGTGGCGGCTGCTGAAGGTGCGGCCGGCGTCGTGGCGGCTGCTGAAGGTGCGGCCGGCGTCGTGGCGGCTGCTGAAGGTGCGGCCGGCGTCGTGGCGGCTGCTGAAGGCGTCTCTCCTACAACCATTGACGATACCTTTGAGGATGTTGGAAAACCACTGCTGCATACCACACAATTGGATCTTGAACGTCACCCGGTCATAGAAGAGGAGGCAGATGGAGATTTCCAGGACAGCAGACAACACAGCGAGGCAGACACATTGTAGGGGAAGCGTCGCCATTTTCCAGAGGTAAAGAGAAATGATGCGGGCGCCAGGCGGCCTCGGTGTCATCACCCTCCGCTCTACCAAGGTAGGCCAAGCTCTTCTGATGTGTAAACCTTAATCATTGCCTTTGATGGCGAAGATGAGAGTATTTTCCGAAATAGCCGGGCAGCATTGCCCGAAACGCTGCGCGTACTAGTGGCTTTACAAGAATGTAATTACTATGCTATGTATCCTTACAATCCCAATGTACCTTCTTGTATATATATAAATAAATAACAAAGTATTCTATATAATGACATTCCCAAAAATTCGGGATTGAAATTGAAATAAGTTTATTGAGGTAAAATGCACACACACGGATGAGGCAGCTCAAGCTATTCTCACCCCGT